AGGTCCAGGTTACCTTAGGTCCCATGTGGGATTTTGTCATTAGGATCCAGCAGCAAGGTCAGCTTTATCCTCGACCATGGACACCTTGATACAGAGGACCCATTGCTGTGCCCAGTTCAAGCGCTCAAAGCATACCTGACAGCAGTCCAACAAGTGACTGTTTGTGCCAATTTCTCGCACGAACATGGCTGCAGATTTACAAAGAATACCATGTGTCTGTGATGATTTTAGAGGTGTACACCCAGGGCTGCCACACCCACAAGTTAGCAGTCCTCATGCACCAGCACCTAGTATCCCCAATACAAGTGGATGATCATTGACGCACTGAAGACTAGTAAATGCACTCAGCAGCAAGCTATGAAGTCTAGGGGCATGGGTGGCCCAGTTGTCTAAGGCGCCGCGATTCGCTGTGCAGAGTTGCATCCCTTGGGCACGCCAGAAACCTATGATTGTGGGTTCAAATCCCGGTTCGCCCCGATTATGTTTCTAGGTTTGTCAGCACCGTACCATAGTGGTAAACGTCTGAGACCTGCATCACTTCGGGCTTTCCTCCCACATTAAGCTGACACGCTGTGATATAACTGGAATAATGTTAAGCGTTAAACCAAACTCACTCACTCACTATGAAGTCTAGTCCTGCGTTTCGATTCGGTCACACGGAGCCTTGTGTCAGTGACCCAAGCACAACCACCAGGCTGTGGGATAATTGCACACAGTCATTGCAGGATAGGAGGAATTAACAGGAATCTATTCCATATATGATGAACTTGCTACCTGCTAGACAGGGGTTAGGCCACCCAGCCTCCCCTCATGCTGCTGACTGTCTCCCCTGTACTGTTGAAGCACAAGAACATCAAGGGCAGCTAACTCAGTTTTCACACTGTGGTATGGTCACTATGGGGTAGCCTAGTGGTTAAAGCGTTCGCTCATCATGCCAAAGGTCCGAATTCAGTTCCCTCACATCAGTACAATATGTGAAGCCCTTTTCTGGTGGTTCCGCCATGTTGTTGTCATACTACTAAAAGTGGCGTAAAACAAAACTCACTCACTGTGGTATGGATATAGAAGACATTGATTCCACATTGTCCTACAAAATATGGAATACACAGATTCCTATAATTTTCATTGTTAATCCATTATTTTGTCAGTTAACAGTGGTAGTGTTTTGATGAATGGTTAGGGGCAGTTGGGTAGCCTGGTGGTTAAGGCGTTTGCTCATCACGCTGAAGAATTTTAAAAAGTATTTAACTTAATAACTAGCAAACCTTGGATCTCTGTAAAATTAAATCGTTTTTAATTTTGACAATATACACATGGTTCATTTTCCTCGTGGATCAGCTGTTTGATGATTAATACTGGCACTTTGACACTTAACTTTGGGGAAAATACACACAAAATCGGTGCCAGGTCGTAATCAGTAATTGCTCAGTTGGGTCAAACATAGTCACCTCAAAATGCCTACCAGTGACACTACTTACCAGATGCCCACATAGAGCTCTGTATCATCATCCTCTCCCCTGTCTGGCTAATTATCATTTTGATCAGTCAGTTGTAAGGAAAACATTATTCTTTTGTGATAAATTTGATTACTGTTATTGAAACATGACACTTAAGTTGAGAAAGCTATGAGATTGCTATCAGTTGCTTAACAGGATGAAATGAAATGGTTTCAAATCATTGTCAATCAATGATCACAAAACTAATGTTTGCTTATTGTTTATTGGTTTCCATGGTTGTGAAGCAGTGTGTGTCATTTATTTCCAATAGCTGTTGTTTTGTTAAGTAGGTCGTGCTGACATTGTCAGTGAGATTCTTGCCACTTTTTTTTTTCAAATGAGAAAAGTGCAGACTAATCATTATTATCAGTGTTTCTTGGTTCAATAATTGATTAGGAAAACAGTTTCCCCCTTGCATGATTGCTGTTTTGAGGGTGGGTCCCATGAACAGAATATTTGATGATGATTGTTTCAGATGAAAAAGTATGATCAGAATTATTACATTAACAGCGTGTGGGAGTGTGATTATTTATGTATAGGAGAAAATCATGAATTGTTAATTAGTCGGCAGGAAGAGTTGATTGTGTTGTCTAGTTCAATAGATTCTCTCCTTTAATTAAAATGAAAAGAGAAACTATCTTCAAATTTAGAACAATTTTGTGCCCTTTCAGTCCCGTAGATGTATTTTATGTACTTTTGTCACACGTTTATTCCGTGATAATTTGTGCTTAGTCAGAGCAGACTTAGCAATCTTAGTATATATGTTTGTTTGTTTGTTTAATGCTGTACTCAGCAGGATTCCAGCTATATGACGGCAGTCTGTAAATAATCAAGTCTGGACCAGACAATCCAGTGACTGACATCATGAGCATCGATCCTCCCAATTGCTATGCAATGATATGGATCAACCAAATCAGCGAGACTGACCACCTGATCCCGTTAGTCGCCTCTTACAAAAAGCATAGTCGCCTTTTACGGCAAGCATGGGTTGCTGAAGACCTATTCTACCCTGGGATCTTCACGGTCTTGTCTATGTGAATATATAGGCGTTGCAATACTCAAAAGATTGTTTTGTGTAATGTTACTTTTTCCTGGACTATAAGCTCAAGTGTCATCTGTCCTACTGCATCAGGTTGTCAGACTCGCTGACCTTGTTCATGCATGTCTTGGTTTCCCAGTTGTGTACAGCAATGCTTTTATGTCAAGCATTAGATTGTCTGGTGAAGATTTCATTATTTTCATGCCATACGTCATATGGCTGGATTATTGCTGAAAGCGGCACTACACAACAACAAACAAACAAACATTTAAGGGCTGTAAGATTTACTCCTCCACATCACAGTTGCACTACATATCTTGATAGTTAGGTGGCAATGTGGAGCATAGTATGATTTATTTAAAGGGAATATGGCCCAAGGAAAATAAATTATATGCATTTATTTGACAGTGACTTGAGAACTTTCACACAAACTGTCAGAAACTAACATTCTACGATCGGCTACATGCCATTTTTGCTGTCCTTTTGATGTACTTGTTTCATATACTCTTTGGTGAAGCAATGTATTTTAGCAGTTGATGTCAGTTACTGATGCAACATAACACAAGGGTACGGTAATCAGAGCTGTATCACACACCGCCGCCATATTGCTGCAGTCATTTAGGGTGATCTCCCTTTGTTGCTCTGGTTCTGGTTGTTTAGAGAGCTACGCAAACAGGCTATCGCTGTGAGGAGCTTTCTCTCTAGTCTTATGTTTTCAACATGGCCGCCTGCTTGTGACAAAGGATGCTGAAGAATGTTCCGATAGTTAGATTATTTTGAAATTGATAATGACCATACATGCTATCAAGTTAGTTCACGTCATTTTGATCAAAATTCTGCTTTGGCTGCAAGGGGGCACGGGTGACCAAGTCGTCTAAGGCGTCGCGATTTGCTGTGCAGAGTTGTGTCCCTTGGGCACGCCAGCAACCTATGATTGTGGGTTCAAATCCCGGTTTCGCCCCGATTATGTTTCTAGGTTTGTCAGTACCATACCCGTGCTCGTGGATTTCACCGAAGTGGTAAACGTCTGAGACCTGCATCACTTCGGGCTTTCTTCACACATTAAGCTGACACGCCGTGATATAACTGGAAAACTGTTAAAAGCGGTGTTAAACCAACTCACTCACTTTGGCTGCAAAGTAAAATATGATGGTTCTACATCACTTTAGATTGATTGGTGATTTTTGAGTTACAATGCTTTTTTATATTGTTGATGATGACGAGTTACTTTAACTTTGTATCTATAAGGATGGTGATGGCATCTGACATACATCACTTTAATGTTGAACACCTGATTACACAACACATACACCCTGACATATCTATATTGATACACATTCAACATCCCACTCACTCCCCCAGCCTTCACACCATTCATGACACACAGTATGAAGAGAATGGATGATTGCTCAGACATAATACATTCTACTTCACCCAACCAATAATAGCACAATCGAATGGTTTCTGTATTCAGCGTATTAGCACTCAAAAGTGAGTGAGTGAATGTAGTATTATGCTACGGTCTTCAATATCCACTGGGTAGCCTAGTTGTTAAAGCTTTCGCTTGTCACGCCGAAGACCCGGGTTCGATTCCCGACATGGGTACAATGTGTGAAGCCCATTTCTGGTGTCTCCCCAACGTGATATTGCAGGAATATTGCTAAAAGCAGCGTAAAACCAAACTCACTCACTCACTCAATATCCACTGCCATTGGTTGCCTGTTAATAGTTGAGTCTGGGACAAGCAAACCAGTGGTTGATAGTACGATTAACATCCACACCATCATACACAATGACCCTTCAGTGAAGACCAATTAGTTGTTGCTGTCATTATTATAAGTATTGTACTCTCAACTGATCTCAAACTGGGCTGTAGAAGTTTGGCTGGCCCAGTCTAACATGTCTAAGGTGCCACAATTCACTATGCACAGTTGTAGGAAACCTACAATCATGGGTTTGAATCCCAGATTCACCTTAGTTAGGTTTGTTAGCACCCTACCCATGCTTATGGGTTTCACAAAGTGCTAAACATCCAAGTCCTGCATCACTTCGGGCTGTCCTCCCACATCCAGCACCTTCATATGACTGATGTACTGTTAAAAGCAGCAATAAACTGGCCTAACTCACTCACTCTGACTGGGGGGTGGTCGGGTAGCCTAGTGGTTAAAGTGACATGGGTACAATGTGTGAAGCCCATTTCTGGTGTCCCCCGCCGTGATATTGCTGCAATATTGCTAAAAGCGGCGTAAAACCAAACTCACTCACTCACTCACTCACTCACTCACTCACTCACTCACTCTGACTAGCCTGACTGTTGCTTTGCTATTTAATGACATTGACTGGTGCTCATACTGTTGACCACTAGTTTACCATATTTCAGTGAATCAGTGACTCATTGTGTTGACAATCGTGTAAAGTGACATTCATGCATCTTGCATTCATTCACAACCTGTTCTCGCCCCCAGGACTTGTCCTGTCTGAACCGAGACCTGTCCAAGGTGATCGTGATAGACTGGAACAACCGATCCTACCAACTCAACCCGGCCAACGCCTTCCCCATTAAGAAGTGGAGCGGCAGTGATGAGGACCGAGACCTCATTGATCTCGCACACTTCCTACGAGGTATGTTCAGGATGAGTCGTGAAATATGCACACACATGCTTCAGATTGATGGAAGTCTGGGTCCTCGACCTCTGTATACATATGACCATCAATGTTTTAAACCGCATTTCCTTATATTGTAACACATGGCCCATTATTTATACAGGTGACGGGTCACCTTACATGTGTCTGATACACAATATGCCTTCACATGTATCCATTTTGGATTTAATTCCGGATCGATTTTCAAAAAGTAATAATAAAGTTGTAGCTGGCCCTGCTTGAATGAGACAAAACTACTGCCTGTGTTACTAAGTTCCAATTTGTAGCAAAATTGAAACATCGACACCTTGTTCAGTATTACAGCCCTCAATTGCATCTAGTCAATGAGGACTACCATCCTTGGATATTTGCTTATCCTCAGCACCATTTAGTAGTCTAGGGGGCAGGTAGGGTAGCTTAGTGGTTAAAGCATTCGCTCCTCACGCCAAAGACCCGGGTTCGATTCTGACATGGGTACAATGTGTGAAGACCATTTCTGGTGTCCCACTCACTCACTCACTCACTCACTCACTCACTCACTCACTCACTCACTCACTCACTCACTCACTCACTCACTCACTCACTCACTCACTCACTCACTCACTCACTCGTCTAGGGGTAGTGGACCAGCTTTAATTTTGAAGGCTTATACTACTATAGGTCTTCAGCAACCCATGTTTGCCATAAAAGGTGACTATGGTTGTCATAAAAGGCGACTAATTGGATCGGGTGGTCAGGCTCGCTGACTTGGTTCATGCATGTCATCGTATCCCAATTGCGTGGATCGATGCTCATGATATCAATCACTGGATTGTCTGATTCAGACTATTTACAGACCGCCCTCATCTAGCTGGAATATTGCTGAGTGTGGTGTTACACAAACAAACAAAACAAAAGGTGTAGCTGGGTTCATTATTCCTATATATGGAAACCATAAAGCCATACTGAACCAATCCAGAAAAATAATAAAAATTGTGTTAGGAGTGTATTCCCATGTACAAAGGTATTTTCACCTTCTACCAACCAAACAATTTGCTTCAGGATGACACAAGTAGTGATATAAGGGGCAAAATAGTTGTTTTAATAAAGAAAATTAAAAAAATTAATTATACAACTTGGGGAGAGTTCCCTTTGTCATTTTGGTGCAAATCATTATTACATAACAGGAGCCATACTGAACCAATCATGTATAATATAGATTACCAGTGTAAATAATCTCCTTTCTCAAACATTCACAGAGAGTTATGTACAAAACATAAAAAGGTTACCAGTTTGCTGCCAAGGATTTGACCAGATATGTTTGAAAGTTATTTTGTTCAGGCATCAAAGTTGAAAAGTTTAAATGGCTGATATCTAAAAGTCAGGTCATTGCGGTTTGGATCTCAAGGTATCCACACAAGCACTCGTTATTGGTCAGTTTGTGAAATATGCAATCCCCAGGCAGTGTAAGTAAAGAGATGTCTCTAATACCGTAATACTGTATTACTAGGGCTGGGATGATACACCAACTGAGAGATCGGATACACATCACGATACCTTACTCATGATCCGATGTGTATCACGATACTTGCATGTGCTCTTATCTGTGGTGTGTAAGCCATCTGTTTCATAGACAGGACGGCCAAATACCTGGCACACTGACGATTTACAGTGTCAAGTATGGCACAACAAATGAAAATATGTATGTTTTCACTATTAACATGCACAACTGATTAGTGTTTTGTGGAACAGTTCTTAAAGCATAAAGTTAAGGTCAGAATAAATATTTTTCACTTAGTGCGTGACTGTGATCGATACTTGTATCGAGAAGTAAAAAATTGCAATCCACCGATGCATCATCCCACCACTATAAATTACTCTGTCTGACTAATAATGAGTTCCTGTGTACTCAGCATACGTTATCTCATTGTTCTTTCATGGGTGTTGGTGAAGAGATGACGTACAATGATAAATGGGAAAATACACATCCCTTCCTTGAAAAGCTGTATCTTCCCCTGCAGCGTGAAAGCAGTGGGAAGAAGCCATTGCTCCGAAGGCATGCAGAAACATTTTGGGTTGACATTTTATGAAAATTTGCACCCCTCTCTCCCTGAACAGCTGTATCTACCCCTGTACTATTAGACCAAACCTAAATATACCCATCACGAGAGTTGAACATAGACTGGATGATAACACAACCTCTTGTTAAGCCCCCATTACACTATCAAAAACTTTGATAAAAAACTTGGTCAAAGTCCATTTTGACAAAGTTTTTGATAGTGTAACGGGGGTTAATTTCACACATTGATAAAGTATTTCAATATATATTGTATTGTGACTAAACCTTGACCTTATCCAGTCCTGATGATCTGCGGAGTACCCCGAAGTTGGGGATGCTTAGGAAGAATTGCCCCCCCTCCCCTCCTTATTACACACAGGTCATTAGAGCAGACTAAATAGGATCGGGTGTCTCAGTGACTTGGCTGATTGCTGATTGCCCACTGCTCACACTCTCCGTCACTGGTTGCCTTGTGCACTCTCGACTATCTTCAGGACAGTGTAATTTGGCCGAAATATTAGTGACTGCAGTGTTAAGCCACAAACACAAACTCTGTCCTCGTCTGCTTTGAAGTGTGTGAAGTGGAAGACGAAAAGTCGAAGGTCATACTCATATCTCTAACATGTCTTGTGTTAAGAAATGGATATTTAGGGGATCCTGTTAAAACACTGAAACTCAAAGATCCTTTGCCACCCTTAATTTTCAACATTGTCAAATCTTCAAGACCATGTACCATTATTCTAGCTTTCCTGTATCCTGTTTATAAATTTTTTTTCATTAAGACATTTACCCCTTGAAGATCTTTTTAGAATTTGTCTTCAGCAACCCATCTTTGTGGTAAGAGGAGACTAATGGGATCGGGTGGTCAGCCTCACTGACTTGGTTGATGCATGTTGTGTTATCCCAATTGCAAAGATCGATGCTCAAAACGTCTGGAACGTCTAGTCCAGGCTCAATTATTTACTGATCACCATCATTTAGCTGGAATATTGCAGAGTGCAGTGTTAAACAACAACACAAATCACAAAGAAATCTGTTTCTCAAATCCTTTTGGAAAAGACTGAACACAGACATTGACAACACCTTATTGAAGCACATCTATAATCTCCATATTGAAGCCGTATTATGTGAGAATATGAAATAGTTTTGTCACTCTCTCGAAAGTTTGTGATTTGTTTTTTTTCTAAGTGGTAAATGCATTCTTCTGGTATTGCTGAAGGCTTTCCAGCGATGTTAGACAGGCTGTCATCTTCTAGGCCTTTGCTCAACCTTCTCAATGCTTGAGTCAGAAACATTAAACAGATTTAGTCTGCAACAATCGGCTGCAATCTCAGACATGCATTTCCTTTTACTATTTCATTTTGCATCTTAAGATATGTTTTCTTTTAACAAGATATTATCATTATGTTGTTTCTGAAGAACTTGTTTATCCTTCCCCCTTTGAAATATGAAATTGGTAACTTGAAGCTTTGAAGATTTATCAGACAATCCCGCTTTTATGTCAACTTTTTTTTCCCTCAGAAAGCATCCCCCGCTTGTGTTGTCCTGTGCATGCTGGGAAGGATGTTTTCGATGCACTCATCAAACAGTTTGCACAGAGTTAATTGTGATGGGATAAAATCTGAAAAATATGTATTTGTCTAACTGTAGGAATTATTTGCAGTTTTTCTTGCATGAAAGCCAGAGCTGACAGTGTAGATTCCAGATCAATTGAAAGTTATTGACAGTTTTGTTTACTTTCTGAATTTTCTGATGATTTCCGAATAAAGCTTAGTATGAGAAGGCCGTGGGCGGAAGTGAAATAATGGAAGAATGCCAAGGGCTGTTTAATATTGATTGTAGTTAGCAGCATGACATGCCCTGCCTGGTTTGTTGATAGCAACACATTAATGGCAAGGCAACTGTTGGGTATGCTAGGGAAGTGTGACAGGCATTTTACCTGTCACATTCTTTAAGGTGTCCATTACTGATAATTCCCCAGTGGTTTTCTTATTCCAAGGAAATTGAGACATTAGCTGCAATTTGTGCAGTGATCTGTGGTAATTGTGATTATTTTTTTCAATTTGAATTTTAGAGAGGCAATACTGTAGTTGTCATTGTTACCGGATGCTAACATGTGACTGTCAACCTGCATCTCGCAACACACCAGTTGCCATGGTTACTGTAGGCCGACATGTCACTATCAACCTTCATCACACAACACTTGTTGTTATGGTTACTGTATTGTGACACGTGACCATCGACCTGCATGGCACAACAGACAAGTTGTCATGGTTACATGGTGACATGCATCACACACCACACACCCACACAGGTCATGTAGCTGATGTCCCTGCTTCTTCTAGAGTTTTGTTCCTAGGCGAAACATAGTTGTAAAGTTTCATAATATAAGGGTGTGTGTGTGTGGGGGGGGGGGGGGGGGGGGACCAGCCAGTAGTCATCTGTGATTGTGGGTTTGATTCCCGGTTCTCTCTGTTTATGTTTCTAGGTTTGTCAGCACCATTTGGGTTTACCAAAGTGGTAAATGTCTGAGACTTGCATCACTTGGGGCCTTCCTCCCATATTAAGCTGATACGCCATGATATAACTGGAATACTGAATTCTTCGTATTTGTTACAAATTTACAACTAAAATACAAAAATGTGATTTGTTCCTTAATTCATAAGAATAATATGCCAATCTACTAAACAAATTGACATGGACTCAATTTTCATAGACACCGGTAAAGAGAGCCTCATTATCATGATTATGTAACCTTACAGTCACCCTGTCTGTTACAAACATGTTTTGTTTATTGACTGGTTTGAAGTCTATTTATAGTGTTGCATCTGTCCAATCAAGATACTCCTCTGGTATTATCGGATGTTGCTGTAGTCGAAATACAACTTAAGTGATATAATTATCAACCGAAATCACATAGCTGTATGCTGTACTGTAGACG